AGAGTGCTAGCCTTGAGCTGAAGAGCTGAGGGACAGCACCCAGGCCCAGAGTTCAGGCCCACGACCGGACCCCAAAAAAAAAAAAAAAAAAGAAAAAGAAAAAATAGACATGAAAGCCAGGTGCCAATGGCTCACACCTGGAGGTTGAAATCTGAGCATCACAGTTTGAAGCCAGCCCAGGCAGCAAAGTCCTTAGAAGACTCTTATTTCCAATTAACCACTCAAAAATTGGAAGTGGTACTGTGGCTCAAGTGGTAGAGTGCTAGTCTTGAGCACAAAGAGGCTCAGGGACAGTGCCCAGGTCCTGAGTTTAAGCCCCATACCCACACTTAAAAAAAAAAAAAAAAAAAAAACAGACATGACAACTGATATACTACAGAAGTACAATTATTATGGACTGTTAGGAATTACTATATGCTACTAAATATAAAAACCTAAAAGAAATGAATAAATTTCTAGATATATATCACCTACCAAAATTGAACTATGAGGACACAGAAAATATATGTAGACTGATAACAAGCAATAAGATTAAATAAGAAATAAAAAGTCTCCCACAGCCTGGCTCCAGTGGCCCATGCCTAATACTAGCTACTTGGGAGACTGTGATTGGGAAGATTGAGGTTTGAGGCTGGAAAATTCACAAGATCCCTTCTGAATGAATCATTGGAAACAGTGACACATGCCTGTTATCCTAGCTATGATGGGAAGCCTAAAATAGGCCAATCATGGCCTAAGCAAGTGACCAGATGAGAAGGGAGACACTATCTTGAAAATAATGACTACTTAAAAAGAGGGTGGGAGCTGGGCACTGATGGCTCACACCTTAAACTTAGCTGTTCAGGAGGTTGAGATCTGAAGATCACAGTTCAAAGCCAGCCCAGGAAGGAAAGTCCATGAGACTCTGATCTCCATTACCCACCAGAAAACCAGAAGGGATGCCGTGACTCCCAATGGTAGCGCAGGTAGCCTTAAGCAAAAGAGCTCAGGGACTGCACCTGGGTTCTGAGTTTAAGCCCTACCACGAACAACAACAACAAAAAAAAGGTTGGAGGCTTGGCTAGGCAGTAGGAATGCCTGACTGGAAAGCATTTGGCCCAGTTTTAACCTGAATACTGCAAAAAAAAAAAAAAAAAAGAAGAAGAAGAAGGAAGAGGAAAGAAAGAAAGAAAGAAAGAAAGAAAGAAAGAAAGAAAGAAAGAAAGAAAGAAAGAAAGAAAGAAAGAAAGAAAGAAAGAAAGAAAAAGGAAGGAAGGAAGGAAGGAAGGAAGGAAGGAAGGAAGGAAGGAAGGAAGGAAGGAAGGAAGGAAAGAAGGAAGAGAAAGAAAGAGAGAAAGAAAAGGCTCCCAGCAAAGGAAAGCCCAGAACTCAATGGCTTCACTGAAAAAAATTTCCAAACCTTAAAATAAGAATGAATACCAATTATTCTCACACTATTCAAAAGTATTGAAAGGAGTAAAAAAAAAAATCTTTTCGAACACATTCTGTGGGCAACATTACTCAATATTTAAATCAGATCAACACACACAGACACAGACACACAGACACACAGACACACAGACACACACACACACACACACACACACACACACGCCCCTCTACAGACCAGAATCTCTAATGAACATAAGACACAAAACATTTCAGGGGGGAGGGGGAAGGCTGGGAAGGGATGTGAAGGGTAAACAAAGGAGGAGGCTGCAATACTTGGTAAGAAATGTACGCATTATCCTGTCCATGTAATTGTAACCCCTCTGTACAGTATGTTCACAAATAAAATAAAATATTAAAAAAAAATTTCAAATGAAAATACTATCATATTAAATCAAAGTCCCCCACCATACAGCTGGCCACTCCCTCTCTCTGCTCAGACCCACCCCAGCAAGCACTTACCTCACTTCCTGCCTCCTAAACCCTCCTGCTACCTGGATAGGGATGGATGCCATGTGTTCCTTCTCCTGGGAAATATGGCCCCTCTAATAAACCTTATAATAATAATTTTTCTCCTGTGCCTAACTGCCTCCGCATGATTTCCTGGGATGGATGTGAAGGATTTATTTCATTTGGTGCAGGAAATCCAGCATAGATTCCCCAGTAGATTTGCCCCCCCACCCCACTTCGATGGGGGGGCCTGACTAGCTCCCCTGAGACCTAGCCCACGATCCTACACTCCTGTCACCAGAAGATCACCAAGGTAACTTTCTCCTGACCGCTGAGCACTCTACCTGCTGCCCATCCAACCCAGCTAATGTAGTCCTACCCCCAGGTAAGTGAAGAGTCCAAAGGCTTAGATTCCACTGTGCAGGCTTCTGTGCCTCTGTCGGGGAGGCTTCAAGGCCCCCAAAACTTGGCCTAGTATCTAAGCCCCATCTTGAGGGCCTTCTGTGGCCTAGGGACACCATTGGTGGGTGACAACTTAACTGCACTGCCGAGGACACTTGGCAGCAAGCTCTGGTTTCAAGGGTCACTTACCATGGAAAGGACACAACTAAATTTCTTTGCAATCAAATTTACCCCCAAATTTATAACTCCACTTCTGTGAGTGCGTGTGCTCATGCTCTGTGCGAGTGTGCTCTCTCTCTCTCTCTCTCTCTCTCTCTCTCCTCCACCCCTCTCCTTCTCTCCCTTACCCCTTCAGGTAAGGGCTAAAATTAGCTTCAGATAAGGTCTCCTCTCTTCCAACTTGGTGGGATAAATTTAACTCCCGCATTCTTCAACAAAAGATATTTGATATGCTAATATACCTGCTAGCAAGCAAGCCCTGAAAAAATTTTGCCCAGCCAGAATAATTTGTTTAAAAGTTTGTATTAGTGGGGCTCGGAAGGTGGCTCAGTGGTAGAGCGCTTGCCTTGCATGCCCGAGGCCCTGGGTTCGATTCCTCAGCACCACATAAGCAAAAAGAAAAAAGCCGGAAATGGTGCTGTGGCTCAAGTGGTAGAGTGCTAGCCTTGAGCTGAAGAGCTGAGGGACAGCGCCCAGGCCCAGAGTTCAGGCCCCATGACTGGACCCCCCCCCAAAAAAAAAAAGTTTATATTAGTAAGATTGGCAAAAAATAAAATAAAAAATTATGTCTTGCCACTAAAAAATTCAGGAAAATGTAGGCTGGTATTCATTTTGCACACTTTAGGATCTTTTTGCACAATAATATTATATGTATATAAACTTGTTAAGATAAAACTGTCATCATTATGTTAAAAAAAAAAAAAAGGATGAGTTTAAGTTTAAGCTCCCAAGAAAAGTCAGCAAGATTGGACATTACCGAAAGTGTAAAAGAATTATTGCATTGTTTTAAAGAGGAACTTTAGCTAAAAGATTTTCTGCTCTTGTTAAGCATGGCGATTATTAAATTCTGTTAAATCTTGGGGCTGAGAAGATGGCTCAGTGGTAGAGTGCTTGCCTTGCATGCCTGAGGCCCTGGGTTCGATTCCTCAGCACCACATAAGCAAAAAGAAAAAAGCCAGAAGTGGCACTGTGGCTCAAGTGGTAGAGTGCTAGCCTTGAGCTGAAGAGCTGAGGGACAGCGCCCAGGCCCAGAGTTCAGGCTCCACAACCGGACTCCCCCCAAAAAATTCTGTTAAATCTTGAGTTATCTCTAGCATTGATCATGTGGCAGATGTGCCCGCATGGCATTGTGGTAGCTCAGCTGCTGTTTTCCACCAACTCAATTTTGTGTGACTCCACTTGTTTCTGTGAACCTCCCCCTGACATGACCAACCCAGGCACCATTATGCCATGCCAAATATCTGTGTTTGTGTCTTGTTTCCTGTTTACTGAAAAGTGTTTTGATGTTGGCAAGGTTTTGTGTTTTCAACTGACCACATGGTTCCATCATAATTAGGCAAAATAAAAATTCCAAAAATACTTTATATGGTCGATTTTAAAATTTTATAAATGTGCACAAACATGTCTATTTTTCTATTTGTCTATGTAAGAAATATATAAAATGGCTATGGTTTCAAAATTTAAATAGTCTGCTTGCCAAAACATCGTTGTCAGTGGAAGCTGTGATTTAATCTGAGTTGCTTTATGTTAGATTATTTAGACTTTACCAGAAACCACACAGACATCCAAGTACCGAGAACAAAGAAAGGCTTATTGCTGGGAAAGGTGCTGGTAAGACCCCTTCTCACAAGGGAGAAGTGAGAAGTAGCACTGGCTATTGTCTGAGGTGACCTATATAGCCTAAAGACTTAGGAGGGTCTAGAAGGGGCTAGGAGGTGGAGACTTGGCCAGGGACTTCATCAAGGTGGACGAGGATTTATGGCTGCTGCCCAAATAGTAGATAAGGGGCCTTGCAGCTATCCAGACCTGAAGGTCACTTTAGCGGCCTCTTGTTGCCTTATATGGTGGTAGCTGCCCCAGAAAAGTGTCATCCCAAGGTAAAGGGGGTTGATGGCTGATTATTTACTGGTTGATTATTTGCTGCCTTTACTACAGGGACCTAGCATTTGCCTCAGAAGGGAGCTTGCTAAGCTGTGGAGAGGGGAAGGAGCATACTAAATTATGGGAAGGGAGCTCTTTGGGTTAACACTAAAAATTTTGAGTCCTGACTACAACCCAAAGGAAAAAAAAAACCCAAGCAGTTATAAAAGGCCTTGGGAAAGGAATTAGAAAAGATGGTTTCCTTTGCAAAGTAAATGAAGTTGGTAATTAAGTTGCTGTCATTTATGTCATTTCTTTTTTTTTTTTTTTTTGTCTGTCGTAGTCTGTCGTAGGGCCTGAACTCTGGGCCTGGGCACTGTCCCTCAGCTCTTCAGTTCAAGGCTAGCACTCTACCACTTGAGCCACAGCACCACTTCTGGCCTTTTCTGCTTATGTGGTGTTAAGGAATTGAACCCAGGGCCTCATGCAAGTACTCTACGACTGAGCCACCCTCCCAGCCCCTTATGTCATTTCTTATGTCCGTCTATGCTAAAAGTTAAATATTGTAAGGCTAAGGTTTTGTTTCTCTGTTGTCTCTCTTATGCACCGATCACTCTCTTTAAGATCAAGGGACCAGGTCACTGGCGGGCTGTGGTTGGTGTGTGGACGTTTGCTGGCCATGTTGTCCCGGGTGGCAGTCTCCGCCGTAGGCACCGCGGCTCCCTGTCTGAAGAACGCAGCCCTCCTAGGACCGGGGGTATTACAGACAAAAAGAATCTTTCACACTACACAGCCAAGTTTTGCCCCTCTACCACCCCTTCCTGAATATGGAGGAAAAGTACGTATGGGGCTAATTCCAGAGGAATTCTTCCAGTTTCTTTATCCTAAAACTGGTGTAACAGGACCCTATGTGCTTGGAACTGGGCTTATCTTGTATTTTCTATCTAAAGAAATATATGTGATTACTCCAGAGACCTTCTCTGGCATATCATTACTAGGATTGATAATCTATGCTATTAAAAAGTATGGAGCCTCGTTTGCAGAATTTATTGATAAAATCAATGAGCAAAAAATTGCCCAACTAGAAGAGGTGAAACAGGCTTCTATCAAACAAATCCAGGAAGCAATTAATACAGAGAAGTCACAGCAGGCACTGGTTCAGAAACGCCACTACCTTTTTGATGTCCAAAGGAATAACATTGCTATGGCCTTGGAGGTTACTTACCGGGACCGGCTGCATAGAGTATACAAGGAGGTAAAAAATCGCCTGGACTACCATATCTCTGTGCAGAATATGATGCATCAAAAGGAGCAAGAGCACATGATAAACTGGGTGGAGGACCGTGTGATACAGAGCATCTCTGCACAGCAGGAAAAGGAGACAATTGCCAAGTGTATCACAGATCTAAAGATGCTTGCAAAGAAGGCTCAAGCACAGCCAGTTATGTAAATGAATCTCCCAACAGAGATCGCTAAAAAAGTTAACTGAATGGAAATTAGTCTATGTGCAAAATCTTTCTGTATTACTATCTGTGGAAATCAGTTTACCTTTCTTAAAAAGAAAAAGCTCAAATTTTATTTAGTGAACTAACTATTGGCCAGTCAAGTTTCTCATTTTTATTCTACCTTTTGAGTTTAGTTATTTGATTGATCACTTTTGAATAAGCAGTTTGCTTTAATTAAAATTTGTTGTAATTTAGGATTATTACCAAGTTACAGTTTAATTTGGTAACTAATTTACCATCTTCCAATAAAGTGACAATTGAAACAAACAAACAAAAAAAAAAAGATCAAGGGACCAGAATGACTCAGGATGCAGTTTGCTCTCATGTATGGAAAATGCCCAGAGAACAGAACAAAGTTGTCACAGCTGCCAAAACCAGTGGCACCAGCCTGCAAAACCCAGTGTGCACCAGATCTTTAACCAGTATGTGTAGAAATTTTGCAGGTAATCAGCGGGAGGTGTGACAATCCATACATGCTGGGACATGCCACAGCTTTGCCCTTGTTCCATCACACATGATCAAAGCTTGTTAATTCGAGGGAAAAAAAAACAGCCACTGCAGATATTTGTTTCTGTTCGCTTCCACCTGTCAGTAATATTAATCCCCACAAGTTAGACCATAAGGGGTATATGAGGAAAGGAGGTAATTTAACTTCTATGCTATTTGCAATTGGATTTGTTTTTTTCTAAAAAGGCAAAAGATGCTAAGTCTAGATTCTTGGTACAGTGCTAGTGCTTGTAACTCTTGCATTAAGAAAATTTCAGAGAAAAAAGTGGCCAGTTTAAACCTTTGGCCAAGAGGTAATGGCTGTTTCCCAGTGTGTCAAGGGGGCATTTAAATGCAAATTAAAGTGACTTTAAAAAAAAAAAAGTATTAAAAAGTTATCACCATTGTAAAAATTTGGAAAGTTATGGGGAGTGGCTGGCCTCCCTGACGAAAAATTTTAAATGTAAAATTGTCCTAAATGTTTATTTCAAAGTGAAAAAAGATAATTAGGATTACCAAAGTGATTGTTTATTCCAGTTTTCCGTTAAAGGTTTTTTTGTAACAGTTTCCAGCAGGCCCACAGCAAAGGACAGAGGACTCTTACAAGTTTGTCAGATGTAATGTTGGCCCTTAATAAGCTCCAAGTAAGACCATGTTTATAAAACTACTTCTAATTACCATCTTTGCTGCTTTTAATTGGAGTAAAGTGGCTGTTTGTAAAGACTTATTGATCTGAGAACTGCAGTTCAAAAGCAGTTTGGGAAGAGAAATTAGAGATTGTCATCTCTGATCTGCCAGCAGAGTGCTGAAAATGGAGTTGCTTTGGGGCTCAAAGTGGCAGAGTGCTAGACTTGAGCTGGAGAGCTGAGGGACAGCACTCAGGCCCTGAGTTCAAGTCCAGTGACCAACCAAGGAAAATGCCAAAAGTACATTTATCCCAGCATGGAGAAAGATACTCTTGGGATCCTGGCAATGATGGAACATCCAGAGGCAGTTACAAGTCATTGTTTGGATGGCAAAGATGGTGTCAGATCTTGGAGTCTCTTGTGCTTGGCCCTTCAAAAATTGATCAGATCCAGAGGAGGTCATGGGAAGGTAGTTGGTAAGCATGCCTTTCTAATGCCCATGTCTCTACTTTATAACTGGGCAGGAATTTGCCAGTCATCTGTGATAGTGGGTAGTAAAAGCTAAGGCTGTAAAATGTAGGGGATAGTTTAAATCCCCAACCCCTTGTGTCTGCTCTAAGTCCTAATTGGCAGTAAATTTTGGGTTGAAACCAGCCACATAAACTCAGGAAAGGAAGTTTGTGGATCTGAGATTGTGTAGCTATTGAAGTGTGTGCAGTTATTGAAAGTTAAATGCTGTACAATTTACAGTTTGGAGTAAAATATTGTTCTTAATGACATCCAATCCTGGCAATCCCTTGGTAAAATAGGCTAAGGTTATATAAAATAGGCTAAGGTTATAAGTTCCTGGCTAGGCAGGGTCAGCAAGATGGACCTTGGCCCATTAGCCCCTTTTAAGATCAAGGGACCAGAGTCATTTTGGCAAAAATGAGGCAGAATGGATAAAAGGAAGAGGCATGAGAAGTAGTGGTAAGAAGATTGTAAGTGTGTAAACTGTACTTGTTGGAGATGGTTACAGGACCAAGACTTCTATATCTGCTTAGGAGATCCTAGCCTCATTAAAAGAAATATCTAGTTAATAAAACTTGTCACCCTGGTAAACTGTCCTGGGCCACTGCCTAAAAGGTTGCCTTAAAAACCAGCCAGACACCAGCCGACCTAAGCCTATCTAATGTATCCTTAACCAGTCTACATAGAAAGTTGCAGCCCAGCAGTCCATTGGAGGCACTGGGAGTTGCTGCTGCTGCTGCCTACCTGTTTGGATGAAGTTCAAAGATGACTTGATATGATCCAGAGGAGACTATATCCTCATGCTGACTACCTCCACCGTGGTGAAAGTGGACTGGACTCCTCTATCACTCATGACTGCTTCCCAGCGGAAAGCTGCTTTGGATCTGCTGAAACTAAGATTTTGTGGGACATTCTTTTAGTGATATCCAGTAACTCTCTCTGCTCCCACAGTGGATATTGAGGCAAGGACAACATCACTGGACAGCCTTAGACCATTCAAGGTATGGGGAACTGGAGAAATCCACTCTATAGTCACAGCCTGGCTCTGCTCCGGTGGCCTAATGACCTGTTTCCTCCTAGGTGTGGGTGTAGGAGCAGCAGTCCACCAGACTGACCCCTGTCTCAGTGGATATTTGTGAGTTTAAGATATCATATCCTTTGCATCTCCTATAGAGAAAGACTCAGGAAAGAAATTGAGGAAACAAAAAAGTTGGTTTCCTCTGGATAAGAAAGGACTTGGAAAGTAACGGTTGTCTTGAATTGTTTGTCTCAAAGTGGAAAATGGGAGGAAGACAAACTCCAGAAAGTTTTAAGTATGTAGCAAATAGTGTATCTTAAAAATGGAGCTTATGAGTAATGTAAGCTTTGAGAAATCATCAACTAAAAACACATAAAAGAATAAAAGCTCCTCAAAAAAAAAACCCTCCACCAAGATGTAGAAGTCCTAGTTAAAAAAACACAAAATTCACAAATACAAGGTAACATTTCCCTCCCAGAAGCTAACAACTCAACAATGAAAGACTTACATAATAGAGGAAGCCATTTCAAATAATGATTTTTAAAATTATAAGAATGATCATTGTAGGGGCTGGGAATGTGGCTCAGTGGTAGAGTGCTTGCCTTGCATGCCTGAGGCCCTGGGTTCGATTCCTCAGCACCACATAAGCAAAAAGACAAAAGCCAGAAGTGGCGCTGTGGCTCAAGTGGTAGAGCGCTAGCCTTGAGCTGAAGAGCTGAGGGACAGCGCCCAGGCCCAGAGTTCAGGCCCCACGACTGGACCCCCCCCCCAAAAAAAAGAATGATCAATGTAATAGTAAGACAAAAAATTTAAAAAGGATGTAAACAAATAACTGAGATCAAACAGTTCAAATTGGTGAATAAAATAAAGAGAACAATACAGTTTATTAATGAAGAATTCATTGAAGATATAGAAATTTTGAAAAAAATCAAATTGAAATCTTGGGAAATGAAGAACTCAATAGCTTAAATAAAAATCTCAGTGGAAAGCTAAGCGCCGATGGCTCACGCCTGTAATCCTAGCTACTCAGGAGGCTGAGATCTGAGGATCAAGATTCAAAGCCAGCCTGAGCAGGAAAGTCCATGAAACTATTTCCAATGAACTACCAGAAAACCGGAAGTGGCACTGTAGCTCTAGTGGTAGAGTGCTCACCTTGAGCTGAAGAGCTGAGGGACAGCGCTCAGGCCCAGAGTTCAAGCCATGACCGCCAAAAAAAAAAAAAACTCAATGGAACAGAACAAATTAATAGATTATTAAGGATTGAAGACAAAGCAGAGAAATTAGGTTGAATAGTCGAAGACATTAAAAAAAACACTTAAGGAAATAGACCTCTCAAACTTTATCAAAAGATCAAAACTAGCTGGGTGCTGGTGGCTCATGCCTGTAATCCTACCTACTCAGGAGGCTGAGATCTAGGATCATGGTTCAAAGCCAGCCTGGACAGGAAAGTCCTTCCATTGAGACTCTTATGCCCAATTAACCACCTGAAAACGAAGTGGCTCTGTGGCTCAAGTGGTAGAGTGCTCACCATGAGCTGAAGAGCTCAGGGACAATGCCCAGGCCCAGAGTTCAAGCCCCATGACCGACCCAAAAAAAAAAAAAATCAAACCTATGGACTGGTGATTATAAAAAGGAAAGTATATACAAACTAAAGGTATTAAGAATCTATCCAATAAAAGAATAGCAGAAAGCGCAAACAGGCAAAATCAGGGAAGAAATACACCTGCACATAGTTAAAATTAAATATATAGAACAATTCTTTAAAGGAAAAGAGACAAGTTGTATACAATGCAAGCCCACTGGGATAACAGCAGATTCCTCAACACAAACTCTAAATGTAAGAAGAGCATAGGAGGTCATAATTCAATCTCTGAAAGATAACAATTGTCAGTCTAGATTAGTGGACCTAGAAAAGCTATCCTGCATAATTAAGGGAGAAATGAATAAAAGCTTCCATTATAAAAGCTAAATGAATGCATGATTATTAGCTAGAGCTACTAAAGAAACTTAAAAGATAAAGACAATTGGAAAAAAAAAAAACAAACAGGAAAATTCAGTGAAGAATAAACCTCAGTGAATGACTAGATTAGCAAAGGAAAAATAAGAAAGAAGCAAGCACCATAGAAACAAAATAGGAAGTAGGACATACTTTTCAATATCAACATATCAATAGTCTCAACTCTCCAATGTTATAAGCATAAAAGAAGACATTCTGACCAATGGAACAGAACAGAGAGCTTAGAAATAACCTTATATATTTTCTTTTTTTTTGCTGGTTGTGGGGCCTGAACTCTGGGCCTGGGCGCTGTCCCCCAGCTCTTCATCT